TATTCTTCTCTGTATATTTATATATATATATAGATTGGCTACATCTTTTTCTGTAAATATTTTTATTGCACCCTTTTTGACCTTTTAGTAATAAATCTTACTTTCTGAAAGTGTTGAACTGTTTCTAACACCTTTAATGCAAACTATGATTTCCTGCCTCTAAAGAGCGCTACTGTGTGTGTGTGTTTTAAACTTCGGTATATCTCTGCCTGCGGTGACAGTGGTATACCAACGATTATTCAAACATCACTGGGTATTGCTAATATTGCTGAGTTTCCTCTTTCTCTGTACAAAAAGGAGGTGGTGGCAGTGTGAAGGGTTAATTGCGTAATTAACCTGACCCAGTAACAATCGCTTCCAGGCTGTGGCTTCAGACTGTGGTCCATTAGCTGGAAAATCTGTGTGCAGGGTGCAGATGGGCGTGGCATTGTTACACACGTGACAGCGCAGTTTTAGATTGGCTAGTCCTTCGGTCACGAGTTTGGTGAGAAGGGCTGGGGTCTGATGCTACGATCGTCACAATCTGTGATTAGCGGTGTGCGTTGTCAACATACACACTTGTACTCCTTTTCAGTTCATTGCTCCTCTATATTGAATATGAAAAGGTTTGTGGAAGCTCCAAGTTGACCTGATGGAAACTTACATAGGGCTAAGGGGCACTTTCCCAGCATTCTGGCTTTTGATTGGCTGCTTAGGCATGCAGTACTGCCCAGTGGAAGGATGGGGGGGGAAGAGTCGTGTTTTTCATCCCCGGAAGTGTTGGGTATTTTGCAGCACTGTAGCGGGTGAACATACAGGCAGCAAAAGCCAGGTTTATCTAAGCAGAGGGCAGGACAATAATAAAAAAGCCTTTGGCATGCATGGGCACAGCACAAGTTCCATTAAGGTGACTTCTATACTACTGCAGCTTGATGAATCAGCTATTGTATGTTAAAGGTGTAATGTAAATAAATGTTTTCCCCGAACAACTTTGTGTCCATGTACAACATGTGTACATTCACTGTGACCCAAACTAAATTGAAAGATGCCGCTCAAGGTTTAACCAGGTCTTCTTATGTAGCAACTGCTTGGAGTACAGACAAGGACAGAGCTCGTCCCCAGTTCTAGACATCTAATGGAAAAGTCCTGGAAGTCACACATCTCTAAGCCCCAGTTCACATCAAATGCGACGTTGAAATCATGCTACTTCATATGCAGTAGCGTGGTTTCAAAGCTGTGAACCTGATGCAATTTCATATGTGTCTTGCCTGACGTGTGTGACTTCATGCACAGATATCCATGCAAATTGTACCTGAAAGCACTGAAAAATATAGCAGGAACTATGAATGGTTCCACTGTCGACAATAGGGTACGTCTTGTCAGGTGATTTGGAATTGTCAAATCGCATGACAAGTCGTATTGGTGCCTTGCCTGACGTGTGCGACTTCATGCACAGATGTCCATGCAAAGTGTACCTGAAATCACCAAAAATATTGAAGGAACTATGAATGGTTCCATTGTCGACAATAGGGTATGTCTTGTCACGCGATTTGGAATTGTCAAATCGCATGACAAGTCGTACTGGTGTGAACCGGGGCTTACTTATTATAGGCAACTCCTATAATAATTCTAATTATAGAAGCATTGTATTTGGACACCATGGACAACTCCTATATTATAAATATAGAAGCATTGTATTTGGACACCATGGAACACAGCACACATAGGAGTGATATTGCCTTTGTACAATGCAGCACTTCTTTTGTGTCTACCTATATTTCATGCTTGTTATCATGAAAATGAAAACTATAATGGGATTTTCAAGGCTGCATGTTACTTAGGCTACAGAGAGTGCCAACTTCTAATGTACTACTTAAGCAAGGAAACATTGAAATAATTAGGGCTGATCATTCCATTAATGTGAAAATATCATAAGCCCATAATATGCTGGTTGAAGAATGGGAAATTGTCATTTAGTTTTTTTTTCTATCTTTTTTTGCTTTGGTTGGCGGAAAGTGGAGGTTTTTATTTTTTATTGTGTAGAGAAGATATGCAATGCTTGACCACTTGTTAGGGCTCAGATTATTTCCTAATGTCAGGTTGCTGCAACATATGAATGGCTTACTTGGACAGTTTAATTTTCCTTTACCAATCAAGGAATGAAAAGTTTCTCTTTTTTTTTTTTTTTTTTTTGTATTGTGGCTCTGGTTAATCTCTGCATTGATCCCAAGGGCCCCTGATAGCCATGGCTGAAAAATAGTTCATCGGACTCCCTGGAGTTTCAAAGGAAATATATACCCTTGGAAAGCTGTGCTAATGCATAATTTTCTCCCAGACATGGACAAGGATTCCTCAAGGGTATCAATAGGGGGTGGCTGTTTAAGCTAAAAGAAAAATGCCCTTTAACGCAAGAACCCCTCCCCCCCCCCCCCCAATTTACAAGATATTGCCAGATAAACAACTTGTGATAAGACGTGCCATTTTGTTAAATTAGGAAAAAGCTCATGGCTTGATATGGCAACATTTTCAATAATCTAGAAATCATGGCTTGGATAGGTGTTTACGGTTTCAGACCGCTTCACTTTATCTTTTTCATCTTTAAAGTTCACTTTGTGACAAAGGAGAGGAACTGTTCACTGAGAACTTTTGTCTCATCTGGCTGTAAAGGTTATAAATATTCAGGTCCTCCTAAACGTCCCCTGGTCATGCTTGCTAGTAGAAAAACTGATCAGCTTGCATGACCTTTCCCTGCCAATTGCTGTAGTACCTCTCCCCATAGACCAACCAACAACTGAGTGCTGTTACCTCCCTTCTGCATATTTGAAAGCATGTACGTCTGCCTGTCATTCGCATGTTTTAGAGAAATCATTCGGCAGTCGAATAATGCATGAAAGGCCAGCTAGGTCATCTAGCTTCTGTAGGCACCTTTAAGGATGAATACTAAAGTTTAGATAAATCTAGAAAAGTTGTGCAAATGGTGGACAACAGTTCACTGCCACCAGCTCATTAATTACAGAAGCAATGATACAGCAATGCTTCGCTAATGTAAAGCCAAGTATGGTGGTCATCTATCAAGACTTACACAGTAGAGCAAGCAGGGGCCAATGTGTATGGAACATTTCCTAATGTGCAGCATAAACCTGCAGCCAAGCTTTACCTACTGAAAAAAGTTGTATTTATTTGTGTTTTTTTTCTAATGCTGAGAGAGCCTTGAATGTCAGTGAACACAAAAATTAGGTACATTAATTTTGGGTGCGTGCATGTTTTTTTCTTGTCATGCAGTTTTATGTTCAGCAAAGATCATGGCACATATATTTATTTGTTTGGCTTTGTTAAAAGGTGAACTAATATATTAGCAGTTTTATTATAGCTCATTCCAAGTTCAGGAAACGTGTACCCTTTGGAAATGTTGCATGTAAGGGTCTTAATTATAAAGCGGTTAAGTCAATTTTTTTACATAAATTCTAATGGGATTTGTAACTGTCATTTCGATAAAAGCAAGCATGGTTTTGTTGAATATCTTGTCTAGATGTTTATGACTTAAATACTTATTGTAAGTTACACTTCATAGTATGTGATAGATATGAAATGTAACTCCAACATTGAGCAATTGGAAAAGTGTTGACAAAAGGTTTAGTGCTGCATAGTCAAATATTTTCAGACAGTATTTGAGAAGCTTGTTTCACAGAGAAACACAATGTTATGCACTGTCCATAGTGCTGATCCTGTGGACTAGTATGCCCACTTCAAAGGGCAGCAAGCATGTAACCTCCTGCCATACTGATACCAGCCTGTGCTGTGTACTTGATATAATGGCCAGCTGGTAGGGTCACATCATTAAACTTTTTTAGAATTGTATATCTTTGAAACCCAGGAGTTTACTTGTAACATGACAAAAGAATTGCCAGTAGCTCTTTTTCTGGTGAACCTAAAAGCGATGTTCACTTTCAGAATTATTTTATCTACTGAAAAGTTGGGCTAAAGAAATTCATTCTTTCCATTTTTCCTTGTGGGCTATGCATTTCTTTACATTTATTTTGCTATACTCTTTTTCGGAATAAAAAAAAAATTACCATATATTTCCCAGTTTTAGACAAAAAAAAATTAAAGCGGAACTGAAGGCAAAACTTTTTTTTTTTTTTACATCGTTTCCTGTATCATAGCGACAATGGGAATTCTAAAAAATATATAATCCCCCTGCGCTCCACTGGTATGAACAAACACAACCCCAAATATATGCAAGCTGCTACCACCTATTCCCAATACCACAGGATGTATGACATAAAAAACAATATTGGTGAAGCGCTTCACATGAAAAAATAAATAAGTAGGTGCAATGATATAAAAATACATATAAAGTGACCACACTGTATTGAAAGGTATTGATAACTAATGCTAAATAATCCCCCCAAATAATATATAAGTGCCAAGTGCTGAAAGTGCAAAACAGGTCATGCGTTTACTGACTAAATCGTGCCAAAATACAATATATGCACAGTGAATTAACACACAGTAACATAGCACACTCTAACTGAAAGTGACAGGTGCTCAGTAGGAGTATGAATAATGGTAAAAAGTAAAATCCACAATAAAGTGTAATAACAAAGTGCTTGACATTTCATGTACAAACAAACACCTCGATGTCAGTGCTTCAATTCGTCACTCCAAACATGATGCGTGTTAGCATGCCACACGTGTATATCGTAATCCAAAAATGGCTAAAGTGCCTCCTCACCTTAACCATGCGACCCCTAAGGGCCACAATGCTTTGAGTAATATAGCTCCACCAGACTGAGGTCAGGCCCTGATGTCGGACAAGAAGGCCTGGCTCGCATTCTCCACTCTAATTCATCCCAAAGGTGCTCTGTCGGGTTGAGATCAGGACTTTGTGCAGGCCAGTCAAGTTCCTCCACCCCAAACTCGCTCATCCATGTCTTTATGGACCTTGCTTTGTGCACTGGTGCACAGTCATGTTGGATCAGGAAGGGGCCATCCCCAAACTGTTCCCACAAAGTTGGGAGCATGAAATTGTCCAAAATGTCTTGGTATGCTGATGCCTTAAGAGTTCCTTTTATTGAAACTAAAGGTGCCAAGCCCAACTCCTGGAAAACAAAACCCACACCATAATCCCCCCTCCACCAAACTTTACACTTGGCACAATGCAGTCAGGCAAGTACAGGGGCTGACTGACAACTCATGGGGCCCCTGGGCAATAGGGCCCAAACTCAAAAAAGCCTATGAAAAAGGTACCAGGGACATCTCATGGGGCCCCCTACTGACCCCAGGCCCTTTGGCAGTGCCCAAGCTTACAAATGGTCAGTCCGCCCCTGGGAAAGTACCGTTCTCCTGGCAACTGCCAAACCCAGACATGCCCATCAGACTATTAGACAGAGAAGTATGATTTGTCACTCCAGGGAACACATCTCCACTGCTCTAGAGTCCAGTGGCGGCATGCTTTACACCACTGCATCCGACACTTTGCATTGCAGTTGGTGATGTAAGGCTTGGATGCAGATGTTCGGCCATGGAAATCCATTCCATTAAACTCTCTATGCACTGTTGTGCTAATCTGAAGGCCACATGAAGTTTGGAGGTCTTTAGCTATTGACTCTGCAAACAGTTGGCGACTTCTGCGCACTTCAGCATGCGCTGACCCTGCTCTGTCATTTTGCGTGGCCTACCAATTCATGGCTGAGTTGCTGTTGTTCCCAGTTGCTTTCACTTTGTTATAACCCCACTAACAGTTGACCGTGGAATATTTAGTAGCAAGGACATTTCACAGATGTACTTATTGCACAGATGGCAACTTATCACAGTACCATGCTTGAATTCACTGAGCTCCTGAGAGCGACCCATTCTTTCAAAAATGTTTGTAGAAGCAGTCTGCATGTCTAGGTGCTTGATTTATATACACCTGTGGCCATGGAGGTGATTGGAACACCTCTGAATCCAATGATTTGGAGGGGTGTCCCAATACTTTTGGCAATACAGTGTATATTTAAGTGTAGATAAAGTTTTTTAATGTTTTGTAATTGCCTTTTTCTACTGACAGGCAGCAGTGACAAGCATTCAAAATAGTAAGGAAAAGTCAATAGTGTCATAAAAATTGTTACAGGATGACTTGGATCTGTTCCAATTGACAATTTAACATCAAAACTGAAAATTGTGCAGTAGACAGAGAAACCCTTAAATTATATTTTACTGATGAAGTTGCCTGTTTGATAGCCTGTTTTATAAGACAGACTAATATCCCCCTGCCTTCATAGTAGGCTGTTGTGATAGTAATCTAAACAGATACTAATTTCCTGATATTCTGACATGCAGTTCCTTCTTCATGTGCCTTCATAATTGCATGGTATTGTCACGAATCGGATTTGTCGTCTGTAGTCTTCTGTTGCCTTTTTTTTCGTTTCTGTGTCATTAGCAAAAATTGGTATTGATTTAAAATGTTACAGATACATTTTTCTTGTTGCCAGCAGTGGACACAAATCAATCCCAGCCAAATTGCTGGGGAGATCTTTCCTCGTGACCTTTATTTATATAATGTGTGTGTGAGTATGTGTGTGAGTATGTGTGTGTGTATGTGTGTGTGTGTGTGTGTATATGTATATTATATATACTAAAATATTAAACGTTTTTAGTTGAAAAGCTGCTATAGAAAGTGTTCTAGTAACTGTATGTGGTTCACACCTATGATACATATATATATATATATATATATATATATATATATATAGTTTATTTTTTTCTTTTTAATTTAACATGCCTCAGTTTATATTTTCCCACACTTACATGTAGCTCAGGTTGTGCAGCAAAATGATGGCTATGGGAGATGGGACAAACCATATACCACTGCCAGAGGTTCTTAAAATGGTCAGCTTTTATTGATAAGGTTTGCATAATTAAAAAGCAAAACACCTGTTGCTTTAACTGCTTACTGCTTTAAGCCCGCGTTCACACAGATGCGACTTGACAATTAAAAGCACATGGCAAGTTGCACCCAATGATTGGCAGTGTAACTGTTCTTGTCTTGTCACTTTTGGTGATTTCGGATGTGACTTGTATAGACCTCTATGCCTGAAGTTGCACAGATGTTTTACAAGTCGCACTAACATCTGACTTTGAAATCGTGTGACTTCCAGTGAAGTCACATGATTTCAATGTCCTATTCAGTGTGAACCCGGGCTCAAGGTGTTAGCCAGAGTCAGGCTTTAGAGTGGAACTTTAAATTAAAGAAAAAATGCAAGCAAGGCAGGCTTTTTTTTAATGAGGCATACTAGAGGAGAGGTTTACAAAAAGTGGAGCACTCAGAATCTGTTGCAGCATGGTAGCCAATCAGCTTGTTTAATTTGGCTATAAACCCTGGAGGCTGATTGGTTTCTGTACAGAGCTGCACCAGATTTTGCACTCTCCAGTTATAGTAAATCTCCCCTTATGTCTCTTCGGCATTAAAGTATTTTTATTTGTCCATGCAGTTCAGTGTATAATTTCAACATCTGCAGAGATGAATGAATGAACTGCACATGCACAGGAATTGCGTCATCTCAGCCTGACAAATCAAAACAGCCGAAGAATGGAATACAGAAGACGGCAGGGACCATCTGAACTCAGCATTGCTGATGTGGAGGTGAGTTTTTTCCTTTAATTTATCATATATTTAAAATCCATATAAAACTACATGTCAGTCTATAGCTGGCCATTCAGGCTGAACTCAGTCCCACCGGCTGTTAAAAATATCCGAACAGTGGCTGCATCTGATTGGATGAAGCCACTGTTCAGCTGAAAATTTCCAGCGGGCTGCTTCAACAAAAGTTGATTTAAATAATCAACTTTCGTCACAGAGCAGGGCCATCCAATGAGTGAATTTCGTCCGGCTCTTCAGGAACCGACTGAAATTCCCACAATATATGGCCAGCTTAAGACTCCACAGGTTGGAAGGTGATCACACTGCAGTTATTCATTGCAGAACGGACAGCGTTGTCACCATATTAAAGGAAGTGGAAAACCAACAGATCTAGCTGCAGGACCAACAAGTAATACAAATATGTTACAGGGAGTACTCAGAAAAACAAACTGCAGTGTATGTCAGTTTAGCCTTTGCCCATAATTCCACTTTAATTTTTTTGTCAGCTTTGTCCAAATGTCACATGAAATGGTATTTATTGTACCGAAGTGCAAAATACTATGCTTGCAAGCTTGTGTTTGGGTTAAAACAAACCCGCAGCTCAGAAAGCAGACTGGCAGTAGCATGAGAGGATGGATATTGGTGATGTGTCTGGAGGAAGCACAGCAGATGTTCAAGTCTTGTCTCCATAGATCTCCGCTCTTGAATTTTCCTCCAGATGCTTGTAAATGACATAAAGCAATGATATTTATTTTGAGCTCTTTAGCAATACGTTCAAACTCCCTGACAAATCACCAGCTTCTGCCATAAAAATCTATAAACGCTCTAATCACTGTGCAGTATTTGTTTTTGCTTTCATTTTAGGAATAAGGAACAAACTGCATAGACCTAGTTCGGCATTCTAGTATACAGTCACGCTAAGGTTCTAATTTTCAGTTTTCATTTTAAATAACGGTGAAGTTTAAGAAAAACTTGGAAAAAGTAGGTGATAAAAAATAAATTTTTTGTTAAAGTGTAAGTTCACTTTTTTTTTCAAAAATCCTCATAACTGGCTTCTGTAGCCCCTCAATTTATTGAGGTGTAGCACCGCCTCCTCCACCACCCAGATGTCCGTACTTGCCTCCAACGACTTTGGCTTCCCATGTGGTCTTGAGTCTGGCTGGTAAAAAGCCAGTGGAAGTTGCCTGAACCTATGCTTCAGCCTCCTATAAACCTGAACAGGGTTGCAGTACAGGTAATTCTTCAAATCTGCTGGATTCTAATGGCCCATCTCCATCCCCCTCATCAAGTCTTCTATTTACCTTGCAACACCTGTTGTGTCCTGCTGAACAATGCACTGTTGGGTTCTCTGCTGGGAATTAATGAAGATTGTGGCACTCATGCACAGGAGAAAGCGGACTTCACAGCTACAGGTAAACTATAACACATGGATGGCAGCTGGGAACAGCACTGAACCCAGTAAACATGCATTGAGTAACCACTTGCCTTCCTGAGGATTTACCCCCCCCCCCTTCTTGATCACGCCATTTTTTGTGTTACGGCACTGCGTTACTTTAACTGACATTTGTGCAGTCATGCAATGCTGCACCCAAATGAAATATCTGTCCTTTTTTTTTTCAACAAACAGAGCTTTCTTTTAGTGGTATCTGATTACCTGTGCATTTTTATTTTTTGCGCTATAAAAAAAAGACCGACAATTTTGAGAGAAAAAAAAAAACAATTTTACTTTCTGCTATTAACCTCTTGACCGACTGATGGCTACAGTGCGGTTGTACAGTTCTGGGAGGGCATCATATGATGTCCTCCCAGAAAGCGCCCTCCCTGCCCGTGCCACCTCATCAGTGCTGCCTATCAGTGCAGCCTCATCAACGCACATCAGTGAAGGAAAAAATTACCTGTTTGCAAAATTTTATGTTAGAAACAAAGAAAACCTTTTTTTTTTCAAATTTTTTGCAGTTTTTTGTTTATAGTACAAAAAATAAAACAATTAAATGTCACCAAAAGAAAGCTCTGTTTGTTTGAAAAAAATGATAAATGTTTCATATGGGTACAGGGTTGCATGACTGCGCAATTGTCATTTAAAGTGCAACAGCGCTGAAAGCTGAAAATTAGCCTGGGCACGAAGGGGTTAAAAGTGCCCAATAGGCAAGTGGTTAAATATGTCAGTAAAAAAATTTAAAAATCAAATTTTTTCATAAATTTGGGCCAAAATGTATTCTGCTACATGTCTTTGCTAAAAAAAAATCCCAATACATGTAATTAAATTGGTTATGTGAAATTTATAGCGGTAAAAAAAAAATCCTAGTGTATATATACCGCTATGTTATTTTTAATTTTTATTAGTAATGGCGGCGATCAGCGACTTATGGTGGGACTGCGGCGGGTATTCTGACACTGGGGGGAACCGACTTGGTGTCACTGACATCCCCAGTGACACCAATACAGTGATCAGTGCTAATAAAAAGCACTGACACTGTACTAATGGCACAGGGCAGGAAGGGGTTAACATCTGGGGTGATCAAAGGGGGTTAGCTGTGTGCTGTTGTACTGTGTGTTGTTTGTGTTTCACTGTAAGCACACTGCTTTGTATGGCTCTGCTATGCAAAGCCATGCTTAGGAGTGTGCAGGACCTGACAGGGCAGACAACTGTATTGTTTAACCACTTGCCTACCAGGCACTTATACCCCCTTATTTACCAGGCCAATTTTCAGCTTTCAGCGCTGCCGCACTTGATTGACAATTGCGCGGTCATGCAACATTGTACCCATATGAAATTTTGATAATTTTTTTCTCACAAATAGAGCTTTCTTTTGGTGGTATTTAATCGCCACTGGGCGCTTTACTTTTTGCGCTATAAATTAAAAAAAGTGCAAAAAATTTGGAAAAAAAAAAAAAAAGTTTCTTTGTTTCTATTATAAAATTTTTCAAACAGGTATTTTTTTCTCCTCCACTGATGTGCGTTGATGAGGCAGCACTGATGGGCACTGATAGGCGGCACTGATGGGCACTGATAGGCAGCACTAAAGGGCACTGATAGGCAGTACTAATGAGGTGTCACCGATAGGCGGCACTGATAGACAGCACTAATGAGGTGTCACGGATAGGCGGCACTAATATGCGGCACTGATAGGTGACACTGATGATGGGTACTGATAGACGGCACTGACTGGCATCACTGCTGGGCACTGACTGGCGGCACTGAATGGCACAACCCCTGGGCACTGACTGGTGGCACTGACTGGCAGCACTGGTGGGCAGCACTGGT